CAAATCAGGCCGAATTTTTTGCGTTCGACAAGTTTACTTAACAAAATCTTGCCAACAACTCTGGGAGCTGCCTCGTACCCAGACGTCTCTCTCGATGTCCGCGCAAAGGAAGGCGGGAAGGAGACAACGGGCGAGACGTCTGGCAGATCTTGCTTTCAAGATGGCGGCAAGAGTAATGGCGGACCAATATACAATTTTTAAAATAAGTTCAGCCCTGTTCATTTGCGAATTTTGAGCAAATCATTGCCTATCCACGTCGTGTGTGTGAAGAGGAAGCTGTTTTCACCCCACACATTGGACGCAAGCATCATAATGTTTACTACCGAACTACATAATGTTTACTACCGAACTTTATATCGAAAAACTACTAGCCGCGGACGGGACAGTACTGCCTTTAATTTAATGAAACTGCCGCACGCCAAGGTAACAGCCGGTCAGGAAAGTTAGTAAGTTAGTAATCGTTTCTGTTAAGGTCCCCAGTGATGAAACGATCTCTTCAGTCGAAGTGAAAAATGGCGAGCTGAGAATTGTTGCAACAGTCAAATGAAGCCAAATATTTTGTAAAGCTTTAAAATACTATTTGCTGCACGCTGTATCTTGAGTACTCGAAAAGGCAACAAACCAGTCTAGTCTCAAGACCTCTAAGATATGTTATGAAATAGATGATAAAATGTTTTTTGAAATCTGTTAAATTTTTTGTCTCAGGATTTCGCATTGTGTATCATTTGCTAGACAATGTAAGCTTCTGAAGCTTATGTACCGGAAAAACAGCCACAAAACTAGCTCCAGGTTTTTTTTTAATTGTATTTTTTATTGTTCGATTACCTCGCTGGGTATTAGACTTGTCACTGAATGCACAGCCCTTTGTAAATAAATTCTACTTACTTTTTATTTACATACCGCATTTTATGATGAGCTGTGTCGAATGTGCAGCAAATACTTATTGTCTGTATTGTTTTTTATTTGTTTTTGTGATATTACACAGTAGACCAATTTGGTTTTGTCATGCTCTTTTATAACACATCATTTGTGTCTCAATAAATAAATTATTGGTAACTTTGGTTTTAATTTGATAGAGAATTTTGTTACCCTGATTGAAGAGGGTGATGTAGTTGATGAGATACCATCATAACTACCATTTGGCCAGGCAGGAGACGTTGCCCTAGACACTTTTTTAAAAAAATAATTGTGTTTGAATATTTCAAATTTCATGGCAAACAAGATGCTGTGAATGCCATTTTAGAGAATAATGATTGCATTGTCCTAATGCCAACTGGTGGTAGGAAAGACTGAGTATTATGAAGTTCTTGGGATCATTCTACCCAGATTCAACATTGCTGTTCCTGTGATTGCTTATACATGGTTCCTTTCTTGGCAAACGTGTGGTAGCATAAAATTCCCCTCAAAAGTCTTCTGAAGGGGTAGTTTTTGACCTGCTTTGGAGTTGCAGAGGAATACAAGATCATCTAATAATTATCAATGGACACAGAATTACCTTGAAATGCAAAAAACGTTAAGATAAGTATAGATGGTTCTGCATAACTACTAACCCCCAACCCCCTTCCTAGAAATTTTAACTACAAAATTACAATCAAGATACAAGCATCTAATGGAAAGAACAGTAAAAACAGGCCCCTGGACAAACTGGAAGAATATGCAGTAAAAAACACTACACTACACTATTATTAGGCTGATGTCAGGTCTATTAACAGTATCAAGCAATGAAAAATGCCAGCTGTTTTAAGTATGGACCAGAAGCTCAGCCATGCAAAACCCTCACCACTTTCCATAGCTTCCACCTCACCCAGAGAAATAAAAAATATTGCTCCTGTTCCTTAAAGTAGTGTCACTGGACATTGAATTGATGTATGTTTTATGAACTTCTGCCGTGATTATTGAACTGAGATGTGGTCAGGTCATTGAACTATGGTCAGCAAAAGAGAAAACCTGCACCCCTAATCCAACTTAAACTCAATCTTTCTTGCCCAAAGTAATAAAATACTTTGCTCCTATAAATCCTTTATTTTGGACAATGGAAATTTGGTTGAAGTGTGTTTTTTGAACTAATACTGCGATAAAAGCATGTGTACAGTTGCCCCTTCCCCTCAGAAAAAAATTGCTGTACATGGGCTACTGAGATTATTGAACGGGCATGTTGTCTTTGAACTGACTTCTGTTAAAAAAGAGTTAAGCCTTTCCCCCTTTTTTTACATTTGTGTGTCCCAATAAAGGTACATTGAGACCACAGACCTGGAGTTTAAATGAGATGTAGTAGTGTGATCATTGAATCATTGTGTTTTAACTGAACTATATAGTTTATTCAACCTTTATTCAAACATTTTTAGTCTTGCAATAGGGGTGCCATCATGCCAGACATCTAGGTAAATAAAATTAGTAGTGTAACAATTAATCAAATTCTCGATTAATTGTGATTATGACTGTTCAGTTCAATTCAGGATTCTTTGCTTCCGCATCTCGATTTTGGTTCGGTTTTTGCACACCTTTTCCAGGGTGCCCTCAGTGAGTTATTATATTCTAAAATAAGAATCCAGAACTCTTTAATGTGCGTTTTTGATTGACGAGCAAAGGCGATAGCAGTTCGTACGCCATTTTGAGTTGCCTGGCAAAAATGCTGTCCTTCAACCTCCCCTTCAGAATTTCCAAATAAGGCAATTAACCATATGCAACACACTCTTTGTCAGGTTCTCAAACATGGCGATGAACCAAGCGACTGTGAATCCTCCTGTCTCTGTTACTATTCTTATATTGAGGATTTAGGGTTGCATGCTGTTTACATTACACATTATGTTATAAGAATTACGAAACATTCACGTAATCGAATCGAAATAATCGAAATCGAAAGGCAATACTCGAAATCGAATCAAATCGCAAGGAATATGAATATTTTATTTTTTTTACACCCGTAAATAAAATGAAATAAAGTTAAAACTAATGATAGCAATAAC